CTAAATGATTTCCTTTGCAAGAACTCAGTGCAACAGGGAGAGGCTGAAGTACACAACTTTATCCACTTTGACCTAGTCGGTTTGGATTTTATTGTTTACTCATATCAACACTGAAGGACAAACTTAAAACCAAATGCCACCACCTCAGGAGTGGAATGCCATCTTAGTTAATTCAGGCTCTTAGACTTCAGCTGGGCTGGCTTGTGAAAAATTCAGGAGTATTGTACACCACTTTAGACTGAACTTTGGAGAGGCCATATCTTAGAATTCTTTTTCCGTGTAAACTTCCTGCTCTATGTCTTAAACCAACGTATTGGAGAGAAAGGTTCAGTGCAATCTTTGTCCTTATATGGAACCCATTTACAACTTCCAGATGGAGTTCTGTGTAGACATTCAAAAATATGACCTATCTGGGTTGCAAAAATCCAAATGATGACTAAGTGGCAGAACCCCCACCCTCCAAACTCTCTGCTACCATCTAGCAGTCATCCAGAATTGCAGCCCAGATATGGTAGTTCTAATTCTTAGGTCTAGACTTGAAATACAGGTAATTAGAAACTAAATGGTACGGCACTGCCCACGATAAAAATAGGAATTATAATTTCTGTAACAAATGCAGGAAATAAAGTTAAATGAAATAAAGTAATATAGAAATAGTGGCTTTCAGTCCTATCCTATAAACTGTCCACTAAGAACTGAGTCCAGTTCTTAGAAAAGAGTCTGCAGGATATCATCATATTTTAAATCAGCAATTCCAAAACCTAATTGATGTTCATCACTGCTGCTCTGAGAAGCCTTCTTAGCCCTCAAGCACCAATTTGGCAAACAGAAACACAGGTAAAATCAGATGAGATTTAGACACACAATTCTGCTTTAAAGACTGCTGTGGGGTGCTGGGCTGTGCCCGAAAGTCTTAAGCCTAGCGGTTGAGTGGTTGGGATAGAATGGTTAGAATCCATGTAGGATTGTTTTTGTTGTTGTTCAGTCGTTAAGTCGTGTCCGACTCTTCGTGACCCCATGAACCACATCGC